CTACTTGCAATTCCGGAGGATCTTTATTCTGGAGGATCGCGCCAGTCTGGACGCTCTTTTCCGGCTTTTCCCCAAGCCGGAAAAAAAGTGGCGGACATGTTTACTTAAATCCCGCGGGGGATATTTAAATCTCCTGCAGGTTTCCCTATTCCAAAGTTCCAAATTAGCATGCCTATTCCGAAGAAGGGGCCAGTCTAGACGTAGCCAATGTGTATATTGAGAGGCCAGTACCAAGTGAAAATGTGCAAAGAAAAACCAGCTAAAATGTTATAAACCCTAAACAACCACTTGGCTCATTCACCTGTTTGTTGTCAGTAGCAGGGAACCAGTTTACGACATGAAGCAATCCTGCTAGCATACAAATGCAGCATAGACAATAATCATGTGTGAGTAAAGGAGATTATACAGCTGTTGTTTTTATTATTCCATTAATTATTAGGAACACTCTTGGCGATAAGCCAAGTAAATGAGTCAAATGACTTTATGTTGCTGCAGAATCAGCTGAGTTCATTTTTTTTAATTGTATCCTTTGGTATATATGGTTGTGACTATTTTCTTCCACTATTTGATCTGAGGAAGTGGGTCTGGCCCACGAAAGCTCATCATCTAATAAACCATCTTGTTAGTCTTTAAAGTGCTACATTGTCCTGCATTTTGCTTCAGCTACCCCAGACTAACACGGCTACATTTCTATCACTGTGAATCACAGACAGCATCACCATGGAATATGAAAAGAGTTTACATAATGTCTACTGATTTAAAAATGGATGTTTCTGGAGACAGCCCAAAGTTAAGACAGAGAAACTGCTGCTAGAGGACTATATGGCACTGTGCCAATTTGCCAAAGACCAACCACAGGAAGAAGGTGAGAAGACCCCTATGAAAGAAGTTAGTAAGAATGATTTTAAAACTCTGTCTTATTTTTATTATTATTTACAACGATGATACTTAAATAATTTTAAGCTGCTAGGAGAGAAAATGTTCTTGTTAAAGATTCAACAACCCTTCGTCCCTCCCATAACAGTCTTACAGAAAAAGAAAGAAGACCAGACTTGGATTTCCTGATACTTCTAAGGTAAATACGAGGGCTGTCAAGCGATAAAAAAATTAATCATGATTAATCACATGTGCTGCCCCTTTGAAACGCTGCAAGGGTGTTTCAAAGGGGCAGTGCTGCAGAAGCCTGGGATCAGCTGGAGTCCTCAGATGACTCCAGGCTCAGTGAAGCTGCCCCTTTGAAATGCAGCAGCAGCACGAGGCTATTGGGAGGCAGAGTTCCATTGGGAGGGGCTTATGGACGTGAGGTTTGATGAGACCCAAGGAGAATGTGTCACCACTCCCCCTCATCGCCCCGAGGAGATTTGGGTGCAGGGTGGCAGTGCTTAAGAGAATGTTCTTCCTACTTCATCCAGAATGTTGCCTCTTCCCTTTCTGCTGCCAATTAACCCTCCTTCCCACGTCCAGCTGGGTTAATTGGCAGCAGAAAGGGAAGAGGCAACTTTTTGAGAGTCAGGTCTAGAAAGATACAGTACGAGAAAGGGTTAGGGTCAAGCAAACGCCTTAAGCAAACTTCTTACCCTCCTCCTGCCACTCGGATATTGTGTTGAATGTCTGAGGTAAATGTGCATGGGCAATAAAGAAGTTCCATTTACCCCACCCGCTCCTGGGTGACCTGTTTCTTCTCTTAACAACTACATTTCAGCAAAATGATTAATACATTTATAGCTGAGTATATTACTATATACATTGGGGGCAAACGGGAAGTAAGTTGGGAAGAAAGTAGAAAGGGAAAAAAGGACAAAGGAAAGTGGATTTATGCTTGTTGGAAGCTAATCCCAATAATCAGCATATTGTCTGCATCTCTGAACTTCGGGTATTGTCGTTCCCTGTTCATACGAGAAGGACCAGAGAACTGGGAAGGTGAAGGGATAAGCTCTCTAGCAGCCATCTTTACATCTAGAAGAACTGCATACATTATGTAACCTTAATCACTGAACTCTGGCACGTCGAATGGAGGAAAATAAAGCAATTATTTGCTGTGGCTCTACCAGCCACCTTCTTGCAAGAGTATTGCTGTTTTTATCTAGCTTCTGTCTGGGTATGGCCTGACTTTAACAGAAAAAGGAGTGAAGTAGCCAGTCACCCACTTCATGTGCTCCCACTGGGCAGGGAAGCATTTAGGGCCTGTTGTCCTGTCCCTGTGAGAAAAGGTGGCAGGTGAGGAAACCATTAATATCCATCTACTGAGAGATCATTGAAATAGAGGGTAATTATTGAGGGATGACAGAGACAGGCCCCTTCCAATTGCCCTGTAGAGGTCTCCTGTGTGGCTGCAGGGCTAATAGGTTCTCATTCTTGGTACCCTCCCCTCACCTTGTGTGTTTGGTGCACCAAAATGGATGCAAGTGAGGGTGGGGTTTTACCCACATAGTATAGAACATCTTGCTTCAAGGTATGATAGGGTCAGTTTAGGCCCCTCCTCCTTTTCCCTTCTGAAGGCTTAGGGAGTAAGACACAGGGCTCAGGGAGAAACGTGGTCAATTAGGGTATGTCTAGACTACAGGGTTTTGTCGACAAAAGTAGCTTTTGTCGACAAAACTATACCTGCATCTACGCTACTGCCTAGTTCTGTCGACATTATGTTGATAGAACTGGGCAGTTTTGTCAATGGCAGTAAACCTCATTTTACGAGGAATAACGCCTTCTATGGACAGAGTTCTGTCGACAGAAGGTGTTATTGCATTTACACTGTCCTTTGTGTCTACACTCTTATGTCGACAAAGCAGTTTGCTTTATTGACACAACTGGGTGTAGTCTAGATGCTCTTTGTCGACAGAAGCTTTGTTGACGTATCTGTCGACAAAGCCTCTGTTGACAAAAGCCTGTAGTCTAGATGTACCCTTAAGTACCAGCCCTTTCCCACAGGACTCTGGGCTATATATGTCTGCCCAACCTTTTCCCGGTGAGAGAGCCTTGCCTGGCTGTTCCTTGAATTTGGCTTTGCACTCTGTGGCATTTTCCAAAGCCCACTAAAGGGGGACTTTCTTCAATCATCAGTAGATGCTTACCTGATAAAATATGGTATAAGCAAGATGAAATCCTGATTCCATCGATGTCCAAGAGGAAAAAAAATTCCCCTTTTGCCCTTACACTGTTATTTCCTGCCATCTGCTGTCCCAGCCCTGCACAGAGAATGGGTACAGCTGTCCTTGATCAAACGGCCCAGCCAGTTTTCAGCACAAGCACCTGGCCAGGTTTGTTGCTGATGAAGCGCTTTGGTAGCTCCCCAGATCAGTGTATGTAGGTACCCTAGCATATGTCTGATCATGAAAAGGGACACAGCTTGGTCAGTGGTGGGACATTCCACTGCCCCCCAGGCTGGCAAAAACACTCCCTCTCGGACTCCATTCTACACACCAATAGAAACAAATTGCGTATGACCCAGTTAGTTCGATCGAAACATCCCTATTCATTACATTGTCATCCTGACCTTCTCTTTCAGATGAGTCAAGGAATTCTCACTAGTTTTGTGGGGTATTTGCAGCAGACTCGATATGGGAAGTTTGGGTACCACCTTTCTGGAATGTGTCTGCGTGTGTGTCCTGTGCCTAGCACTTCTTAGGAATGTGTATGGTTTTGTGATACCCACCCTGGTCTTGCCAGGTGCTGTCAGATTACAAAGCAGGTATGTTTCACAGCAGGGCCTGCCTGCCTTCTCTCAGCCTGACTTCTGCTCACTTTGCTTTATACCAGCAAAACTTAAGTCCCAGCTTGACAAAGCCCTGGTTGGGATGATTGAATTGGGGTTGGTCCTGCTTAGGGCAGAGGGCTGGACTTGATGACCTTCTGAGGTCTCTTCCAGCCGTAGGATTCTAGGATTCTATGACTCTGTGACCACTTCTTTAGTTCAGGCCTCAGACCGGACTTCAGACACAAGATAAAATGGAATTATTTAGTCAAGAAGCTAGTTCAACATTTTTGGAGGGGACATTTCCTCCTTTGGAAACTGCTGTTTCACCAACCAGGGAGAGTGTGTCTGTTTTAATGAGCTCTCTTTTTTTTAAAATGAAGCCACTCGGTTGAGGTTAAAACCTTCTTCTTTCTAATATGTTCAGTATTTATTCATATTCCCATAGGAACCCAGATCACGAACCAGAACCCCCATTGTTTTTGCCACTGTTCAAACCCAGAGAAAAAGATGGTTCTTGCCTCATAAAGGCAGGATCGAAAATAACTTAAATTTCTTGCAGGTACTGTTTTATTAGGATCAGGGTAGGAGGTTTGGGGGAGGGGGGAGTGTTATGTCAGTACCAGTAAGAATTTAAGTGTGCGGTAGGGTGCTAGGGGCTCAGAGCAGGAGGTTGGGGGACTCAGGGGATGGAGATGTGAGGGGGTGCAGGATTTTCCATGCTGCTCCTCAGGTTTGGGAAGAGGTCCCCATAAACATCCACAAAGCACCTCATGATCGTCCTCCAAAATGTCTCCATGAAACTCTCCTTGCTTTGAGAGCCTGCAACAAACTTGATAATGGCTAGGCTGCTGTGCTGATCCCACTGCCGATCATGCGGGCTGAGACAGTTGGGTTGGGGGTGTGAGGAGGGGCTTAGGTCAGAGCGCTGGGGTGTGTGGGGCGGGGAGTGCACTGGGGCATGGGTGCCCTTTAGGGAAGGCAGAGACGGCTGAAAAATACCACCACCACCCCACACACACCCGATTCCTACCAACTCTGCTTGTTGCTTGCTCATTCACTTCTGTCATTCAGGGAGTGAGAGGAAATGTGTGTCACTCATTCCACTGCCCCTCCCCACACCAGCCAAGAGGGAGAGGAATGTAGGGACACTGTGCACTTCCCTCTGGCTCAGTGACAGAAGAGGAGCAGCAAGCAGTGTCAGCTGGAATGGGGAGAGGCTTCACGGCCCTTCCCTCCCTTATGGTGCCTGGCAGGGAAGCGTCCTAGAACAGTGTGGGGAGCATCCCTAGACATCCCTTTTCACAGGCCTGCTGCTTCGTGGGCATTCCACAGGAGAGCCCCAGGAGTCCGGCTGGGGCTGTACCGTGCCGCCTCCTGCAGCGGAGCACCCCAGCCAGCTCTTACCGGAGCAGTGCTCCGGGTGCACCGTTTTACTTCCACCTCTGTGTACAGGTTGCAAAATGATTGAAGGCAAGAGACAGCAGGTGGATACAGACTGACGTGGGAGTACAAGGAAACAAGGGGAGAGTCTCGGCATGGTTGTCAGTGGGATCAGCACAGCAGCCGAGCCATTATCAAGTTTGCGGCAGGCTCTCACTGCACAGGAGTTTTACGGAGCCATTTTGGAGGAGGATCACGAGTTGCTTTGTGGATGTGTACGGGGAACTTTTCCCAAGCCTGAGGAGTAGCATGGAAAATCACAAAAGGGCTTGTTATAAGCAATAATGTCATCGCCATCCACGTGTGGGTAGAATACGTTGCCATGACTTAGTCCTAGGCCTTCAGAAAACAAGGTAAATATCAGATGAGACTTTGGTGTTTGACCCAGGGTTTCAGTGCTAAATAACAGCGATACTAAGCTGAGTACGCAAACTGCAGATTCTTATAAAATTGTAAAGGAATTCTTGGTTTTTTATTCTATAATACAAGCGATCGCACACAAACATACACACACAAAGCTTTGTATTTTCAATACAAATGTTATCTTAACTAATTATTAAGAAAGATATAACAAACCTTTTGGTTTATTTGAAAGAAAGTGATCTGGTCTGGGGTTACATTGAGAGGCCAATGCCAGCTGAAAATCTGTGAAGTGAACCTAATTCATATGTTATGAGACCTAAACAGCCACGCAGCCTGATAGCCAGTAGCAAAGAGACAGTTTAACATGTCAAGAAATCCTATTAGCATACGAATGAAGTATAGAAAATAGTCATGTGTGAGTAAAGAGGATTATACACCTGTTATTTTTATTATTCCATTATTTGTTAGCGACCCTATTGGCGATGAACCAAGTAAATGAGTCAAATGACTTTAGGCTGCTCCATGATGAGCTATGAGTGACAGAAAGAATCATCCTGGAATGTAAAAAGACTTTGCATCACATCTACTGATTAAACTGATATTTCTGTTGACAGGTCTAAGCGCAGACAGATAAACTGCTGCCGAAAGGATATTGAGTTCTGCCAAGTTGGCCAAAGCCCAACCACAAGAATATGAGAAAATCCCAGCGGAAGTAGTTAATAGGGAAGATTTTAAAATGCTTTGTGTAGTAGTAGTAACAACCATGCTATTCAATTGATTTGTAAGCAGTTAGGAGAGAAAATTTCCTTGTTAAAGATTCAAATACCCTGTTACCCCATTCCATTCAGGGTTGAGGAACCTGGAACTTGTGGTCTTCCTGTGCTGGGTAGGCTTGTGCTGTGCTGACCGGCCCTCAGGTGCTCCAGGGCTGGGAAGGCTGAGGTCATGCTGCCTGGCTTCCCTGTGCTCCAGGGCCAGAGAGGCTGGGGCAGGGAGTTGGGACTTCACTGACCAGAGCTTGGGGGCATGGGACAGGCTGGGGCAACACTGCCTGGCACTCTGGGGCTGGGAGAGGGGACTGAGGCTTGTGCTGCCTGGAGCTTGGGGATAGGGGGTTGGGCTGGGGCTTCACTGTCTGGTGTTTTGGGGCAGGTCAATATATTCAAAATATTGAACTAAGAGTAACATTCATATGAATCTGTTAAAATGCCAGTTAGGACCTAATCAGAATTCTTTGGAAACATTGCTAAAAACACAAAAATTGTTGCAAATATGATTATTGCCATAGATTATCACAAACAAAAAGTATTATCATTTGAGACAGTTATAAAATTATTTTAGACGAAAGTTATCAAATCCAGTGTGCGCTCAGAAGTTGGATTCTACAGTCTAAAAGATAATGAATTAGATTTTCCAAGGCTCAAGATTGACATGGGTGAAAATGATGATGTGAAGGAACTTTTCCTTATTTACAATTACTGAAGTTGTCTTTATAGTTTGGCATCTTAGCTGAGCATATGCCATACATTAATGAGAATTTGGTTTCTCATTCAAATCCAAATCCAAACTATGAGCCATTTTCAGAGCAGAAAACTGAAATGCAAACTTAGTCTCATGAATCATAGCCAGATCTTCTTGTTAGGTAGTATCTAACTCTTGTTGCTTGAGTAGCTGATTACACTGATTAAAAAGTATCCACACTAAGTGAGTCATGGAGAAACTTCGCCTTACCTCATTGTTCCTCTTAATGTAACTTTCAAGATCTGGTTCTCAATTATAAGACAATCCAGGATCAAGATTTTTGGGAAGCACAAATTCAGTAGAACATAGATGGCTCTCCTGTCTCTGCCTGGACTAATTATAATAAATTGAAGAATCTAACACCATTAATATAAAGAATTGTTCCTCCATCTCCTGAAACAAATATGGGGCAGTCTATAATCTGGATGAGTACAGATCTGAGCCAAAAATGCAAAAAAGCAATATCTAAATACAAGGCAGGAGTAGAATTTGGAAGAATTAAAAGTTTTCTAAAATAATATTTCAAGTCATTTATTAAGGCCAATATTTGGCTCCAAACCAAACTTCGACCTCACATGGAGTATGACTCTGGAAGGACTCTGTTCCAAGCATATGAACAGAACCCTTTCTCCAGAACTAAGGGCATTTGTTTTTTATTATATAGGACCAGCAGTGTAAATGCTGAAATTTTATCCCTAAGTTAGTCCAGGCAGAGACTTATTCTTTGGGTAGCCATCCAACTTCTACCGATTGTGTTTATCATTCTTTCAAAAAATCATGCCTTGGGTCTTATTATAATTGAGAATCAGGTGTTGAAAATTACAGGAAGAGGATAATTCAGATAGCAGGCAGAGGCTTCTTGGAGTTTGGGTTAAAAAAAATATGTGTAATCAGTATATAATAGGACTGGAACAGCTCTCCCTTCACTGTACATTGGAGAAAATTATCTCTTCTCTAGCAACTGGGAAAACGTTAGCACATTCTCCATTGGCTTTACTCTAACCATACATTCTTGACCACACAGTACTGGAAACTTTAATCACTTTATTTCCCATTTTAAAAGAAAATGTTAACTTCTTTGTAATGGGTTTTAATGCATGAAGTAAGAAAATTTCCATAAATACATAGAATGACTGGAAGGGACCTTGAGAGGTCATCGAGTCCAGTCTCCTACTCTCATGGCAGGACCAAATACTGTCTAGACCATCCCTGATAGACATTTATCTAACCTACTCGTAAATATCTCCACAGATGGCAATTCCACAACCTCCCTAGGCAATTTATTCCAGTGTTTGACTACCCTGACAGTTAGGAACTTTTTCCTAATGTCCAACCTAAACCTCCCTTGCTGCAGTTTAAGCCCATTGCTTCTTGTTCTATCCTCAGAGGCCAAGATGAACAAGTTTTCTCCCTCCTCCTTATGACACCCTTTTAGATACCTGAAAACAGCTATCATGTCCCCCCTCAGTCTTCTCTTTTCTAAACTAAACAAACCCAATTCCTTCAGCCTTCCCTCATAGGTCATGTTCTCTAGACCTTTAATCATTCTTGTTGCTCTTCTCTGGACCCTCTCCAATTTCTCCACATCTTTCTTGAAATGACTCCAATTGAGGCCTAACCAGCGCCGAGTAGAGCGGAAGAATGACTTCTCGTGTCTTGCTCACAGCACATCTGTTAATGAATCCCAGAATCATGTTTGCTTTCTTTGCAACAGCATCACACTGCTGACTCATATTCAGCTTGTGGTCCACTATGACCCCTACATCCCTTTCTGCCATTCTCCTTCCCAGACAGTCGCTTCCCTATTTTACATGCTTATTTAACATGTAAAATATTAATAAATATTGTACAAAACAAATATACAAACACAGAGACGTGTTTGCCAATGCTTCCTTTCTGCACTAAGGCCTTCTTTTCATCGACTCGTAGAATCATGGGGTTGTAGGAGACCTCAAGAGGTCATCAAGTTCCACCCTCTGCTAAAAGCAGGGCCAATCCCAACTAAAACATCCCCATATTTTTATTATCTTGAAATGGTTTCCAACCAGCAATGAATGTCTTCTAGGTGTAAAGTATTCAAACTGTAACTTTCTCAAAGCAGGCATTTGGTCAGTTTTATTCCCCTGAAATACTCCAGGGACTTTTGTGATGCTGTAAAAATAATTATTATAATTAACAGGTTGCAGCACACACCTTTTGTTTTGATGCCAGTGACGTTTAAGATTTCAACAGATCAGTATATTGCAATCCCTAGAAATCTATAAAGAGAGATTTCTGTCTGACTTAGTGTCTCTTCTCTCCAGCAGCCCTGAGTTCCCAGCCAAACATCAGCTATGAAGATTCTTTACCTTCTTTTTGCTGTCCTTTTCTTGGTCCTGCAAAGTACCCAAGGTAAGATAATAGTGACACGAAAGCCGGATATCGAAGGGTATTTGTGAACCAGTACTAAAGGGGCCTAACACTTTTTATCATGTTGCCAACTGTTTTTCTGAATCTTTCTAGTGCTTATATGGTTAACAACAGATACTTCAGATTTGGCTGGGGTGTCAGGAAGGTGCCTTTGATGTGCTTTTGAAAATCCAGTCCGATTTTGGTATGCTATGGTATCCTGTAAAAATATCCCCAACATTCTATTTGGCAGCTTCAGGGAGTAGCTGAGTTAGTCTGTACAGGATAAACTTAAAAAACAACAAATGGTCTGGTAGCACTTTATAGGTAAAAGAAGCTGATAAGGATCATAAGTAGTGTACTAACTGCTATCCTATTATCCTTATCTGCTTCTTTAATATTCAATCTTTAGGTGCTTATAGATTACCAGCTCTGTCTACTTGTTTTTCCCTTTGATATTTTCATACCTTCTGCTCCTTGTTTCCCTTCCCCTTTTTTTATTTCCTTTCCCCCTTTCCCTTCTCCCCTATTTAGTTTGGGTTTGCACATCCTAAACTCAAAACTCCAGTCATCTGAAGAAGTGGGCTGTGCCCATGAAAGCTCATGATACCGTCTACATGTTTTGTTACTCTATAAAGTGTTACCAGACCGTTTGTTTTTTTAAAAAGTTTATTCTATTTAGCGGTATCCCAGTAGGATTAACTCTGTATCTGACACATTTTTATCGACAACCGGGAAGAAAACAAAATCGCCGCAAATAAATTTTAGACGACACAAAAACGGACCGAGCGATAAATCATGAAGAAAGCAAGCCATGAAGTCAGAGAGGTCGGGCTCGTGGAGTAAGCTGGGCACAGACAAACCATATGCATTTTAATATCACCAAATGCAAAAAGGTATCACTAAAAACAAGAGACTTTAGACCATGCTTACAGGATGGTGGATTCTATCCTCGACTGCAACAGCTCTGAACAAGATCGGGCTGGATAATTAGCTGAATATGGAATTCCAGGACAATGCTTTGACCAAAAGAGCTAATGCAATCAATCCTTGGGCTCATACACAGGGGAATGTCAAGTAGTAGCAGTTTATTTTAGCTCTTTGTTTGGCACAGGTGTGAGTGTTGATGGGATCCTGTAGAGGCAAGATGGGTGAGTTAATAACTCTTGCTGAGCCAACTTGTGTTGTCAAATAGACAAGCTTCCAAGGCACACAGAGCTCTTCAGTTCTCTCTAATATCCCAGGGCTTCCAGCTTGCCTAATATCCTGGGAGTGGCATAGCTACAACTCTTCCACAATGGAATCCTAGGGCCAGGTCTGGAATTCTCAAGTCGGGAAGGATACACACTGTTTAAAGGGTACATTGGTCCCAATGCCTTGCAATCAAATTTTGCCAAGCTGCCCCTCTATTACTTTGGGGACTCTCTCAAATACAAGGCCTGTGGCAAACTGGCCTTTTAGCCCCCAGCCCTGCTGGATGGCCCGGATGTCAAGCAGAGCTGAGCAAGAGACACATACAAGATATATCCTTTTCCTCTGGTCTGACTTGATGAAAATGCACAAGGGGATTGTGAACTAAGTGGCAAACCAGGAGAGCACGAATTACAGGATACATTTCAACGCATTCACACCTCCTTTGTTAAGCAATGTCTCTGCCCCAATTAGAGGTTACGCAAATCTGGGAATAGCATCCCACGTCATTCATGTTGTAGATCATTGTGTCACTGTCTTAACCTCATTGACCTTCCAGGCATAATCTGCCGTATCCAGGTGCCTGGTTTTAGTACAGGAAGTGCATTTGTGTAGGATTGTAACAATTTCTGTGAAATGAAAATGCATCTGAATTATTATTTTCATCATCATAGAATATTAGAACTGCAAGGGGCCCTGGGAGATCAAGGCCATACTTCCTTCACCAAAGAATTTGCAATCTGACACTAAGACAAGAGAAATCACATATAGACAGGTAGGCGTCCGTGGCCTATCTAGACGCGCTTTTCCGCAAAAAAGCCCCGATCACCATTTTCGCAATCAGGGCTTTTTTGCGGAAAACAAATCTCAGCTGTCTACACTGGCCCTTTTGTACAAAAGTTTTGCGCAAAAGGAACTTTTGCCGGAATGGGAGCAGCATAGTATTTCCGCGAAAAGCACTGATTTCTTACAGTAGGAAGTCGGTGCTTTTGCGGAAATTCAAGCGACCAGTGTAGACAGCTAGCAAGTTTTTCCATAAAAGCGGCTGATTTTCTGGAAATACTGGCCAGTCTAGACACAGCCGTACAGCACAAGGAAGCAATGAAACTATACTGTTTAGGGCCCAGACTTATGTGGATACTTTAAGGAAAGCAGAGCCGAAATCCAGTTTAAAACAGTCTCATCAAAGGACAACACATGGTGAAGCGATGGAGCCCCAGGCAACAGTCTCACAGAGACCAGCTGCTCTGGCGTGTCTAAACCCAGCACCTGTTCTGGAAGAAGATGTTCCTGTGTGCAGCGTCCTCACCAGAACGTCTGTGTAGAGTCCCACAGATGGTTGGGCATTTGGAGAGGAAGGGACTGGTCCAAACCCTTCGGTTACTAAGTGTTGCAACCCATTGCTGAGCGGTTTCGCCCTGGCTCAGCCAATCAGCATTTATGATACTGCCTGGTATATCACTGTTCGGACTCAGAAAGCCACAGGGAAGTCAGTGATGCAGGCAGCTACTTGCTTTCCAAACCCGCAGTGGGGAACTAAGGCCCGCAAGCCGGATACAGCCCCCTACTTGCCTGGATTTAGCCCCCCGAGGCTCAGGGCTCCTCAGCTCACTCTGACACTTCAGCTTCTGCTCCCCTCCCTTTCCCCTCCCTTCCCCACTGTCCCTCTGCAGGACTGGAGCACACAAAATCAACAAGGCTCTGGTGTGCGAGGGGAATTGGGGGAGTGTCATTCTCCTTCTCAGCTGGAGGCCATTGAATTTTGGGCGTTTGGGGAGGGTTTTGCTTCTTGCTTGTGTGCGGCCCCTGACTGATTTTTCTGTAGGTCGGTTGCCCCCTAGCCAAAAAATGCTCCTCACCCCTGTCTTAAAGGCACGGGGCTGCTCAGGAGAGCCATGCTCAGAGATACAGGTTTGCAGCGTACAGCCAGAGCATCTGACTAATTATCTCACTCTCTTTTCCTCGACTGGTGCAGAATTACAGCCCTGTCAGTATCAGTGAAAGGGTGCACGGGAAGATAACCGGGCTGGGAAATTCAGTGAACAGGAAGTTATGCGTCAATCTTTTTTTACTCTGCTGTGTGAATGAAAATCAATCATTTTTTTCTTTATGCAGGATTTTCCTTGACTTTTGGCAACAGCTTCCGATGCCTACAAAGTAGGGGTAAATGTTACTCTTGGCGATGTCCCCCAAATAATTACATAATTGGACGCTGCTGTTTTTGGCGGCCTTGCTGTAGGAGGGTAAGTTCGAGATGGCGCCAGGGGAACGATTCTGCGTGAATCAAAGTAGTAAGCAGCTTGAGAGCAGGAGAGGTGAAGCTGGGAGCTTCATGATAGCAGCTGTAGCGCTGCTCTCGTGGTTGGATCAAGGCACATGTACAGAGATTTCTATTGTAAGGAGGCAGAGCTGCTGGCATGGAAACACGAGCCGCATGTGGTCAGGCGTTAGGCTCACGTGAACTGGGGAGGCAGAATCGGAATTTCCAGGCATTCTTTAAGAATAACGGAATAAGCGTGTCACTGTTTGTTGTTTCGTTTGAGCTATAGGGATGTAAGTGACTAGTCAACTTCTCGACTATCTGATAAGCAAATGCTTATTGGATAGTTGACTAGTGACTCGACTAGTCGCTTCCCCCTGTCCTTTCTGCCTCTATCAGAGAAAGGCAGCACAGGGGGGAGATCAGGATCCAGTGCTGGGGCGTGGAAGCCAGCTTAAAAGCCGGTTCTCCCCACCACTATCTCCGTGGGGAGCAGGTGCAGGCGCACAGAAGGGAACTGGCAGCGCTTCTGCCTTGGAAATGTAGCAAGGGCTCTTGCTACCTTTCAAAAGCAGAAGCACTGCAGGGAGCCTAGGGTGGGCTGGGGGCTCAGACATTCCCCTACTGGCCCCGCGCTCCCTGCTTTTGAAATGTACAAGAGCCAGAAGGGGGGCACTTGTACATTTCAAAAGCAAAGCACTACCAGGAGCACAGGGCCAGCCGGAGACTGCTTGCCTCTCCCACTGGCCGAGCTCCGGCAGGGCTCTTACTACATTTCAAAAGTGGAGGTGCCCTTATTGACTAATCGAATAGTCGATGCAAATTACTTCGACTGTTCGATTAGTTGATTCATCTAAAGGTAGCATCCTTTCACAGGAAGACTGGGTCATGAATAAGAGTCAAACTGTTCTATGCTTTCTAATTTGATGTCACAGAGGCAGGGTACATTTTTAAAGTCCGCAAGTATGACAACATTTCAGGCTTGTTGGGTTTTTTTTAATTGTGATGAACATTTCAATGAAAAAATTTCATCCTTTTTCCAGCGGTTCTAATCTTTGATTTGCTGGGGTTGGTTGGTGGTTGGGTTTTAAATCCCTGCTCATTTATTTTTATGTTTAGCTTTGTATGTTAATAACATTTTTGGTTTATATTAATTCATATTTGTATAATTTATAATAACTTTTATATTAAAAAGGGATTCTGTCTTGTTTAGAGAGAGTTAGGAGCTAAGGGAGGGCAGATCCATACTCTGACATCAAGCACTTATTTGGTAAGCCAGGTGGGCAGCCACGTCACACATTTAAATATCTGAAACAAAATACAGGACTATGTAGCACTTTAAAGACTAACAAGATGGTTTATTAGATGATGAGCTTTCGTGGGCCAGACCCACTTCCTCAGATCAAATAGTGGAAGAAAATAGTCACAACCATATATACCAAAGGATACAATAGATCAAATAGTGGAAGAAAATAGAGGAAGTGGGTCTGGCCCACGAAAGCTCATCATCTAATAAACCATCTTGTTAGTCTTGAAAGTGCTACATAGTCCTGTATTTTGTTTCAGCTACACCAGACTAACACGGCTACATTTCTATCACTATTTAAATATTTCTATCTTCATTAAAACTTGGTAGCAGAATGCTGACTTAGGCTACCAGAGGTAACCTGGAAACACTCTGCCGTGTCCAAGGAACATGTCCGCTTTCTCAGAACAGTTTCTGAAAAAGCAGACGCATTCTTTCGGCATCCCTGTATTCCTCTCGGTGAGAAGAAGAAGGGATATACCGAAAGAGGAGTTTTTTCCAAAATTTGGCCCAAATTTCGGAAAAGCGTCTCCCCAAAAGAAAAGTGGAAAAAGATACTTAAATTGCGATTTGCAATTTGCATATCTTTTCGCGATATCATTGCAGTAGCCATAGGGCAAATGAACCTGCTGCTCTGCAGCTAACTAGGAATACCTGCACTCACCATTCAGTGCTGGGGGAATTCCTACTCTGCCTTAGATTGGAAATGTATTCTCATATTTTCTCTGTTGCAACGGATACAAATACAGAACCTGAGCGTGTCTTTCCCTTTTGCAGTATTAGAAGGAGGAGATGGCATCTCTGGTCACTGCAGGATCTGTGAGACACTGGGAGGTGACATCTTCCTTCTAAAATCATCGGAACTGTTCGTTGGGCTCCCGAGAATCTCCTGGGCTGCAGAAATTGCACAAAGAACCCCAGTATCATCCATGATGATTTGTTATTTTGCTTTCAATAAAAGTGGTTGTGGCGGTGTGTTGCTACAATGTGTGTGCAAATGGTTTGACGGGCAATCTGGGACCCTTTTGACATTTGTTTTCCATTCAAATCCATTTTGTTTTTCCTTCTTCCCATAACAACAAGGTTCCCATTGTAAGTTAAATCCAACTCTGGGTGTTCCAAGATGGGGGGAGAGGAGACACCTACATATTCTCTGTTGCAGTGAGCTCAGAGGGCTGAAATCTTACCTGTTCCTTACATCTATCACAAACCCATTTGGTTTGTGTTGTCAGAGGAGCTGAGTCCACAGTGTGTTGTATGGTGTGTAACACCCATCTGGATGCTTCATGGCACATCAGCCCTCCAACTGCTTCTGTGTCCCTCAAGCTACCATACCATCTCATAGGGTATGTCTACACTATCCCGCTAGTTTGAACTAGCGGGGTAATGTATGCATACCGAACTTGCTAATGAAGCCCGGGATTTGAATTTCCCGGGCTTCATTAGCATAAAGCCGGCGCTGCCATTTTTAAAAGCCGGCTAGTGCGAACCCCGTGCTGCGCGGCTACATGCGGTACGGGCTAGATAGTTCGAACTACGTAGCCATTCCTCGTGGAACGAGGAGTACAGATAGTTCGGAATGGCTACGTAGTTCGAACTATCTAGCCCGTGCCGCGTGTAGCCGCGCAGCACGGGGTTCGCACTAGCCGGCTTTTAAAAATGGTGGCGCCGGCTTTATGCTAATGAAGCCCGGGAAATTCAAATCCCGGGCTTCATTAGCAAGTTCAGTATGCATACATTACCCCGCTAGTTCGAACTAGCGGGGTAGTGTAGACATACCCATAGAGAGTTGGAAGTGACCTTGAGAAATCATTGAGTCCCGTCCCCTGCCCTCACAGCAGGACCAAGCACCATCCCTGACAGATTTGTCCCAGCTCCCTAAACGGCCCCCTCAAGGATTGAATTCATAACTGTGGGTTTAGCAAGCCAATGCTCAAACCACTTAGCTACTCCTCCCCCGGCTACTGTCACACCTGGTCCACTTCTCTTCAGCCACAACTGCCAGAGGTCTGAGGCCTGTTCCATTTACATCTTTTATAGCTGTGAAAACTGGCCTACAGTAGATCAGACTCGGGCCCATGATGTTCCACAAAATGGTTACAACAGGTTTACAGAAGGAAAACATCTGTTATCTCCATCAGTCTCAGCTTCCCTGCGCTTTATCCAACCCTGACCCTATGGTGCTTAAAAGCTAACCAGGAAGCCACCACAGGGAGCAGCCTAAGCAATGATACAGAATGCGCCACATCTTACCTTGCTGTGGACACTCGGACTCCAGCGTCTCACCCTGCAACTTGCCCGGTGTCTTTAACCTGGCGCCTGACACTAACTCCCTGCGATCGTGACCCAACTCAACTCCAGCTGCACTAGTTGCCTGCTATCTTTAACCTGCTCCCTAGCTCTGAATTCCTGGTGTCCTGTCCTGGCTTGATTCAACCCATCTCCTGACTCCAGACTGTAACTGACAGGGCACTATACAGGTTGTGAGCCAGCCCTGAAATGGAGGAATAAACCAGGTGCCACTGGAGATGAATATAGAGCTCTTTTGTCCTACTACAGGCTGAACCTCTCTCATCCGGGACTCTCTGGTCCGGCAACATCCATTGCCGGGCAGGACCACAGATGTTGCGAGACCAGAGAGCTCTAGTCACAGAGGTTGAGAGCAACTGGGAGCAGAGCCAGTCTGGCCACAGGCAGCTTGCAAGGGCAGCGACCTGGAGGTTGAGAGCTTCCGGGTGTTCTGGGCTGGAGTCAGGGAACCCAGGGAACAGTCGCTGCTGCTGCCACCATGTGTGCAGGGCTGGGGAACTCCCGGGAGCAGCTGCCAACCTATGCACGGGGCAGGGGTCAGAAAACCCCAAGAGCAGCTGCTGCCCCACATGTACGGGAGGGGACAGGGAGCAGAGCCCCAGGAGCAGGCTGGGGGCAGCTAAGCCAGGCAGATGGGTCAGAGGAGGTCAAATCTCCGGGTTCTCCCAGGGCAGCAACCAGGAGGAGTGCCCTGGGAGAGCCCAGATGCCTGACCTCCCCTGGTCTGGCAAATTCCCTTTTTCAGGACCACACTAGCCCCGGACCAGGGAGGTTCAACCTGTATTCCATTAATGGCGATCCACAGTACTGGGGGTGAGCCATGCAAATGAGTCCAGCAGATCTGTGTTGCTGTCTGGTGAGCAATGAAACAAGTGCAGCATCATATATATAGTAGCCCAGTGTCTGTGACTCTGTAACGTTGTAGTGTTTGGTGTTGCCTCTGGGGGGCGCTGTTGCCTCCCGCCATGGCACTCGGCTGACTTCTGCAACACTCAGCCGGGCCGCCGCACTGGAGCAAGTGGCGCAAGTGGCCGTTTGGGGTCCGCGTTCCACTTGCAGCACCCCTGTGCTGCATGGGGAGCGTGGGGCCCAAATGGCTGCTTACTCCCATGCGGCGACCTGTCTGAGTGGCGCAGAAGTCAGTTGAGCACCATGGTGGGAGGCAACATGGCGGGGTGGTGATGTGCAGCATGACAGTGGCTCCAGGCCCCGCCCTCTGGCCATAAATGTCAGCCCCATCCCCCTTCACCTCCCGCTGTGGTGCTCGACTGACTTCTGCACTGCTCAGCCGGGCCACCACGAGGGAGCACAAACAGCTGCTTGCTCTGCTTGGTCCCCTGTGGCGGCCCGGCTGAGTGGCACAGAAGTCAGCTGAGCACCACGGCGGGAAGTGAAGGAGGCGGGGCGGTGATATGCGGCGTGATAGTGACTCCAGGCCCCGCCCCCTGGCCGGGGGGAGGGTGAGGGAACAAGGGGGAGGGGGAGGACAATTGGGAGGCTGCAGGATCAGTACTGGGGTCAAGGGAAATGGTGCAGGGGGGAAGCTGGAGCTCATAGGCCACAGAAGTCAGCTGAGCACCACGGCGGGAAGTGAAGGAGGCGGGGCGGTGATATGCGGCGTGATAGTGACTCCAGGCCCCGCCCCCTGGCCGGGGGGAGGGTGAGGGAACAAGGGGGAGGGGGAGGACAATTGGGAGGCTGCAGGATCAGTACTGGGGTCAAGGGAAATGGTGCAGGGGGGAAGCTGGAGCTCATAGGCAGTCGCTCAGCCATTTGGGCTCTGCGCTCCCCATGCAGGAGGAGGAGGAGAACAGAGAATGAGAGGCAGGAGGGGGAGTAGAGAAAGAGAGAAGGAGGGAGAGGCAGGAGATGGAGGAGAGCTGAGAGCGGGGCGGGAGGCAGTGGAAGGAGGGGAGAGAGAGAGAGAGACGGAGTGAGAGACCAGAGGCTCAGAAGAGAAGACGGAGATAGAAAGGGACTAGGATGTGGAGGAGAGACCTGAAAATCCCGTTTTATGACGGGCTAATTGGCTAGTTTCTGCAGATCACTCCAAGTGCTGACAGAGAAACTATTACTCAAGAAAGGACACAGAGTTGTATCAAATTGGCCAAGACCCACATGCCACAAGGAGGCCTACAAGAAAATCCAGGTAGAAATGTAGCCGTGTTAGTCTGGTGTTGCTGAAACAAAATACAGGACTATGAGCTGAGGAAGTGGGTCTGGCCCACGAAAGCTCATCATCTAATAAACCATCTTGTTGGTCTTTAAAGTGCTACATAGTCCTGTATTTTGTTTCTACAAGAAAATCCCTGTAGGAGAAGGCTGTCGATCAGTGTAGGCATTCATTGCACAACCAAAACATCTTACACAAACTGGGAAGACACAAGATGTGTTGCAAGAAGGCCACAAAATTTATCCAGAGACAAACGTGCAAAAACTCTAACAAGTTTTGTTTTGTCCTCCAATGAAGAGAAGGGTCAACTTGAATTCTAGTTGGTTGTTTCTAATATGTGACAGACACACCTTCACCACTTTCTGATTGGCCCAGATCAACTTTCCCCAGAAGACAAACCAAACCACGACACCCTTGTGCAGCCTATTTGGATCAAAGTGACACGGTCTGAAACATCTGGATCTAAAAGGCGACAAAGGAGACTTTCATTGTCTAGCCACTGAGCGCTCCGCAGACCTGGTAAGAACTAAAATCGCTTCAATTACAATCTCCTCCTAATTCTGCCCTTTGAAGTCTTTTCCAGAGAGACAGCTGCAAACGAAACAAGAACAGTTGTCATAATACCTCTATGAAATGCCTCAGTGAACTTTCTCTCTGTTTTGAGAAACTATTGAAACTGGGAAGCTAACCTATGCCTTCCTATCAGTTGCCATTGTTATGTACCAGAAGTACATGTATTTTGTTTACCCAGATGAAAACAGGACAAATTTAAAGCTAAATGATTCTCAGAACGTAGGTGTGTAAGTTAAAATCTCCTAAAAGACTGAAATGTATAGAGTAGCCGTTATCATAGCAGTTCACTACCAGCTTTAAACTTGGATGTAAATTATAGTTAATCAATGGTGATTAAGAGTACAGAGGGTTCATTGACTCATTCAATTACTTAAGCCTAGTATTATATCAGTTAGTAAAGCATGCTTGATTTTCTTAAATTGATATCAAGTATCAGAGGGGTAGCCATGTTAGTCTGGATCTGCAAAAGCGACAAGGAGTCCTGTGGCACCTTATAGACTAAAAGATGTATTGGAGCATAAGCTTTTGTGGGCAAAGATCCACTTCGTCAGACGCATGCAGTGGAAATGTCCAAAATTTCCAGAAATTCCAGAAATTAAATTGATATGCTTATCAGTAGCACTATTGTACTCTTATCAGTAGCACTCCAGAATTTCCAGAAATTTCCAGAAATTCCAGAAATTAATTTGATACACTTATCAGTAGCACTATTGTCCATCCCAAACATTAAAAAATCATGAGATGTGCTTAAATCATGAGAGTTTTTAAAGAAACTAAGTTAGGGTCCCTTTTGTTTGTCTTTTGGTTTTTGAGAATTTAAAGTGCACTCGTTTCACATGTTCTAGATTATTTTTCCAAACAGGAGGGCAAGATCTCTGCTCTTGTTTAAAATGAAAGTGAAGATTTTCATGCCATTTTTCCCTCAGCAGCTGAGAGTTTAGAATAAAATCATAAGGGCTGTCAGCTCTGCTGAATTTAAACCCTTTAATTGACTAAAAAGCACAATGTAAACCTGCATTTCGCTAACAAGATTAATCTTAGTTGTTTAAAAGTGATGGCAAGTCAACACATGATTAAGTGTATTAAGGCTGATTAAACTTCCTGTTCAAAGCTTAATACTATTCATAACAGGAAACTGCAAAAGACAACTGAAAGGAACCCAAAGTGTTTCAGAGTTTATCCTGAAACTCAGACAGTTTGTGGTCAGCAGAAATTGACAAAAAGAGGAAGGAACTTTGTCTTATTTTTTTAAGCTAAATATTTTAGTATTGTGTGAATATTTAATGTG